TAATATAAAATATACAATAACATTAGAATGGTACAATAAAATATAATAGTAGATATACATAGGAGTCATTATTCAAATAGTGTCATAAATGAATATTTCACTCTATGGAATGTTGTTACACTATATATGTACAAAGGGCAATAACTCTTACAAGCTCAATCTACTTTCCAAAATCGTGAAGAGTTATCTTTCATATATAATCAAAATAATAAAACAGTAATGCATACAGGTTTGTGGAACCAAGTCCATCTGACATACTGTGTGGATCTTTTCAGATATGGTGCTACAATGTTTCTGTACTGTTTCTGTCAGTAAGTCAGTATAAGATTTCAATATTTCAATAATTCACCAGATCTAGCTTTCTACGTCTGTACATGTCTAAAACTTTGAGATCCTTTTAAACTGAGTAAATATCACTCACTAGACAATGTAAAACCCTTGACCAAAGAAATGTAAATCTTCAACCAATGAATGAATGTGTGTGTGAAATGTATAGGTGGATCAAGAGGGATGGGTGGTAACACTTAATACCTCATTAGTAATAGAAAGACTTTAGATTTTAATTTATTTAACAATCTTAAATTTATTTTATTTATCACTTATTAAATTATTTAGTAAAATATACATCTACTACACATACTTGAGCTGACATGACGGGGAAAGTGTCATGATTATTACACGGCATGTAGATTTATTATGGGGAATTGTTAAATTTAAGAGCACGGGTTTTTTTAAGCTTGTTTGTGCTGTTATAATGTTTAACATTTGATATTTAAATGTGTCTATTTCTTTTGCTTGTCCGTAGACAGAGTTAGGATTTTATGAATCGTGTTTATATTGGACTGGCACAAGTGAAAGACAAGGATAAATTGAAGATATTCTGCATGAATCTAAAATAGAAGTATGTCTTCTAACTGAATTTTGACCGTTCACGGTAGCCTAGTGGTAGAGCGTTCGCTTCGTGATCGGGAGGCCCGGGTTCGATTCTCGCTCTCGTAGGTAGTGACTGTTCCTTCGCCAAGCGCTCGGCATTAGAAGTGAAAGTCACGGGTCTTTCGGATATGACCTTAAAAATGTAGGTCCCGTGTCATGGTAGGCGTTGGCACGATAAAGAACCCTCACTTCTTAATGGCCCTGTGTGCCGAGTATAGGTCTAAATTTGAAGCCCTTCACCGGCATTCTCAAGAGGGACGTTAAATAATATACAATCAATCAATCTAACTGAATTTTGCTGGGGGATCGTATGTAGTTTATCTGTTTTTGTATAAATCGCGATAAAGTGTGGAAAATACCCCTCTTTACGTTGGTAATTTTAATTTATCGTAAAATATTTTCTTAAGAAATAAAAATGAAACCTGCCCCCAGTACTTTTTATGTATCAGGAATTAATTGATGTATGTAACAAACTTTGCACAATATTTTCGTTTTGCACTTGTGCCGAGGTGATTTTTGTGCAACATTTAAGAATATCAAAAATGTCCGTCACGTGATCAACACAGTCATCTGACATCACATAAATGTTTTTTTCCCTGATTAAACTGTTATCTCAAGTTGACTGCAATTTCAAACAAGGATCACATATTAAAAATTAAAATCAAGCTCAAAATAAAATGTAAGCCTTCGGACAGCCTTATCATAACTGCGTTACGATTGAAAAGAAAAATTCTTTTATATTTATGGTCTGAAACTTTGAAATTTTTCGTTGGAAGGTATCTTTCTCGATGATTGATTTCAAGAAGTTAATCAGAAAAAATACCATCTTTTTAACATGGAAAGCAGTCGAACAGATGAGAAATAATTTTATCATCTTGCGCCTTAGTACCATATTAATGTAAAGGAAATACAGAAGTTACACGAAGTGCACTGTTTCTGTATCTGGGCAAGACGAAGGTATGCTTTAAAATGAACGGAGACAAAGACAACTGCATTTAACAAGAAGCCATAAAAAATCATTTGGGAACTGTCATAATCTATCACCCAAAGGCATATAAAGATCCTACCAATAATCATGTATGAATCATGTTTAAAGTAATGGAATAAGATCAAATTGAAGTTATAAATCACTTTTATGATATATATTATTGTCACATTATACAATTTTGCATTATAACAATGTGACCTTAATTTGTGCGAAAAACCATCTGAGTTTAAAAACTGCGTCGAGCTGTACAAATAAATAGTGTTTTTCTTTGATTAAAAAGATTTGTTATATGACTTTTGTAGAACATTTAATAAAACATTTATTATGAGACATGGTTATATACTGTAAAAGCACAAATATTCGTGGGAAATTAAATTTTGTTTATTTTGTTGTTAACAATTATGAACGAAATATAATCCCACACGCAAATTCATAGTTTAAAAGTAATGAATAAGATCACATTCAAAACTACAGAATTAAATGCCAACGAAACTTTTTGATGGCAAATCAGAGAAATTTTATTCCCATGAAAATATGTGCTTCTAATGTACATTATCCTTATAATTTTGAACCCTTACAATATCCTGTGATCAAATTTCTAAAGTTAGTAGAACATTCACAGGTATAATAAGATATAAGTGTAATAAGCAAAATGCGTAATGATAATTAAGGTATGAAGCTTATTTCAACTTTTGTTATACGATATCACATAACTTGGGGCAGTTTTCACTTTATACACCGCGAATTTAATTTTAATGTAGAGAATGGGACATCTTTTCTATTTTTTCCTTCGAAAAAAGTCTTCAAATATCGCATATTTTAAAAGTTAACGTCAAGCGGAGTAATAAATTTTTGACGTAACTCATTGTGACGTAGGCAAAATGGATAAATCCGTCGTTTAACCAATCAAATGACGTGTACAACAAAAATCAAATTATGTATAAATAATTATAATATCAATAATAATACATTAATTTATAAAGCACTAAATATTAATAAATTAATTCTAAAGAGCGTTGTACAACAAAACGCTACTAAACATTGGGATTTATGATTTAGGAATTTAGGAGATATGAATGCATGTACGAGGGCCGTTCAAAAATTACGCGGAATGTGCTATTATTTACTTATATTTACATTTGCAAATGTTTTCCTTTATATAACACTACTGAAGGCAAGCGGTTTTTATAACTGTGTAAATACAGGTACGGGGTCAAGAGGTTATAGATGTGCGTTTGGATAAACGTTCGACGTAATTTCTCTGTGACATCATAAAGGGTCGACGCGCGTTTAGTGGATTACATACATGCCGCTGGGTTTGAAAAATTAACGCATTTCACACGTTAAAAGTAACAATCAGGCAGATATAAAGTATGAGTAAGTCACAAATGTAAATATAAGTAATAAGGTATCATTTTTTGAGTTTTATTGAGATGTAAAACGGGTTGGCACATGATCAAATTCGGGCTTTATGAGATTTGATCACGTGATCAACCCGTTTTACATCTCAATAAAACTCAAAAAATGATACCTTATTTCTTAATTACAGACGTCATATAGTTGTGAAATTTCACAAAAATATGTATCTTAAAGATTCCAAGTAATTGTGGGCAAAAGTTCTGTATTTAAAAAATAAATTCTACTAAAATAATCGGTATGTTGATATCGCTTATAAAGAGGTACGGAGCACGACAAAAAAATTAAAGCAAAAACATGCGGAATCCAAAATTTAAAGCAAAAACATGCGGAATCCAAAATTTAACTCATTTATTTTCTATAATTCGCGATATTTTTCGACAATTTTCTCAAATATATCTTTAAATTGTTCTATTATTATCACTGGGTGAAAAAAGTGGTTTCCCATCATGGGAAACCTTATGGAAACCACATGGAAACCTCAAGTTTACATCATGTTTCCCAGTGGTTTCCGTAGCGGATGCTAGGTTATTCCGCCAAGTTTCCGTGACACGGAAACCCCCTACGCTCCGATTCCATAAGGTATTCCGAACCATGGAAACCTCTGTAAACCTGAAGTTTCCCGAACATCCATGTAGTTTCCCGTAATGGAAAACCTGAAGATTCCACTGGTTTCCAGAATCAGGAAACTTGATGGAATCGGGGCGTAGGGGGTTTCCGTGGAATGGAAACTTGGTGGAATCTTTAGGTTTCCTTTTACGGGAAACTACATGGAAGCTCGGGAAACCTCACGATTCCTAAAGTTTCCTTGACTCAGGAAACCATATGGAATCGAGGCATAGTGGTTTCCGTGGAAAGGAAAATTGATGGAATCTTTAGGTTTCCTTATACGGGAAACTACATTGAAGCTCGGGAAACCTCACGATTCCTAAAGTTTCCTCGACTCAGGAAACCATATGGAATATGAGCGTAGTGGTTTCCGTGGAATGGGAACTTAATGGAATCGTAAGGTTTTCTTTTATGGGAAACTACATGGAAGCTCGTGAAACCTTATGATTCCTGAAGTTTCCTTGACTCAGGAAACTATATGGAATTTGTGTAGCACTTTCTGTGTGGCAGAAACTTGGTGGAATTGTCTGGAGTCCCATTCCTGGTGGAAATTACTGGGAAACTTCAAGATTCCCTAACTTTTCTAAAGGAAGCAATGTGAAATAATGCGTATTCTTTTAAAAATCTATCAAAAAGATTTATTACATGTAAAAGAAAAAAGCATTACCATTTTATATGTTTAATAATTCATTTGATGTACAAAAACTGTAACTGAATTTTTCAATGATATCAAAATATTAAATAAATTCATATATCTTAGATAAACAATGGAACAGTCTTTCACATTTAAGTCCATTCATAAGGGTCATTAAGTACTTCTTTCAACATCAGTTTCCTGGTTTTCTTCACATTACCTATGATCTGCAATATTCATACAAAATTATTATATGATGTCAGAATTATAATGCTTGAATATAACTTAGAAATCTGAAATATCAGTCAATGTCCTTTAATATACCAATATTAATAATTACTTTCCATGACCATGATACACATGATTTCAGCACTTAATGTATCTCTTTAATATTTAATGCTTTATGATGAGTGAAAAAAAATAACATAATATAAATAATGTTTTCAGCCTTATTATGTCATTGAGAATATATTACTACATGTATCTCATACTAAGAACCCTGCTTTAAGTTTGATTAGTTTGAGAGAAAACATACTTTTTATAATAACAAAAATATTAGGGAGAGATTTTTTTTTTAAATTTTGATATTCGACCTAGAAATTGGTTGAAGATCATTGCAGACCCTCCACCCCATTGCACAAAAGCTAGATTACACCAGGGGAGAAATATACTCTGGACTACGATTTTAAATAAAGATATACAGTAGATTTTGATACTGACCTTTGACCTAGAAAATTAGTCCAAGGTCACTCTTCATCCTCTATCCACAGGCTCTCTGTAGTTTAAGTTTGAGAGAGAAATATGCACAGAACAAGTGATATCAGATGGAGTGATGGGTAGACACTGTCTTAGGGCATCCATATAACAGGACCTAAAAATAATGCAATATATATGTATTACAGTATATATACACATGTACTTGTATGTTAATGATTTATCATATGCTGCATTGGACACCTATGATTTTATTATGGTTTAAGTATACATGTATCTTATGAGTAATTTTATACCGGTATTGCATGTACGCTCAGTTTATTTAAGAAATAAATAACAAGTTTATAAACTTCAATGGGAGAGATACCACAAATGTATATATAAACAAGTAATTTAATATTTTTTTTTTTTTTGCATATATTGACCAACATTATTTACATCCATTCATCACGTTCATGAATTGGCTGATCAAAATTCAGTCAGTTTTAGATCTATATGATATACCATAAAGGACTTTCACATTTACAAAAGTTATTCCCCTTTGCAAGGTCGATCTGGGGTCAACCGGCTTAAGACGCTGTTTTCCCTCTTTAACCGTATCAACTTTGAGGGACAATATCTTAGAAATAAAATCTGTATGAACATGTTCATTCATCTTCGCTAGCCAAGGGTTTCCGATCCGATACCTACTCTACAACCCTTGGCAGATTTGGCCGAAATTTTTAGAACTCGCGCAAACGAATTTGATTGGCTGCGAAGCCCAAGTCTTCGCAAGGTTTTTACTAATCGACGATTTTCGGCTGAATTAAAGTCTGCTCGTGTTTTATGCACAAAATAAAAGTAATATTTACAATGGATGAAAGTTAGGACGTGATCTATGCTTAAAAAACAAGGTATTAATTAATTTGATTTTTTTTTTCTTTTAATTATATATGTTTTCAAGAATTATTGAAAGGACCACATAAGTCCCTGTTCCGCATTTTAGATGCATCAATTTAAGCCAATCAAATGTCACGGCTCATTGATAATAATTGATACGGCAACAAGTAGAAAGTAGTGTCAAACTCTTGACTAAAAATCCACGAAGAACGATACTTTCTACAACTTTTGAGGTGTGCCCACTGCCCACAGCTGTATGAAGTTGTTTGGATATATTCCACATGGAGGTCGCCATATTGTTTCAAACGTCATATTGATCTACGTATGTTACAGCTATTTTCATTGGACAAATATTAAAGAGCTTCAAGGGACTTAATTCAATTACGGCGATAGGCGGCGCAATCAAAGTTCCCGTTTGATAGGACTAAATCTGCCAAGGGTTGTAGAGTAGGTATCGGATAGGAAACCCTTGGCTGGCGAAGATGATGTTCATTATGATTTTCATGTTGCCCCCATACTCTGGCAATACAGATACAGATCGTAATTGTCCAATATTTTTGAAGATTGAAAATATTAACAAGTAACTTACAAAGGACAAGTGGGAAAAATGAGCGATACGCCGACAATTGGAGAAAACTCTTAGGAAAGTGAAATTCGTCTATTGGTGATGACTATTCCTGTTTTAATGTCACTGAAAGATGAAGAGACATTAAAAATTTAAGCCCTATTGTCATACACGCATGCTGTTTTTTCATCCATATAACCTTTTAGTATCATATAATTTACCAAAATTTAATACTTCAAATAATTTCATTGAATATCTATGAAATAAAGGAAACTCTAAAAACTTAGTGACTTGCAGAAATTATTCCTTGGAGAGAAAAAAATCTATCATATTTCATATAAATATGTGCATAATGAGCCTTTTTTTATTCATTTAGAACATATGGTATGTGCCTCATTTCCCCAAGAAATTTTCAAAGACAATGGACTATCTGTAAGCAGAAATCATTGATGTTTACTTACATTGGAAAAATTTATGAAAATAATTAATTTCCTATTTTTTTATTTTAAATAATGCTAAAATTAATTTAATCTATTAAAAATAATCTAAATGACTGTAAAATAACATTTAAATTTTTTCATAATCTTAATCTATGGGCAGATCACTCTAACTTCATAAAACTACCTGATATTAAAGTAGAACTCTTTAGTGTGCAGTTTTTAGAGCTTCCTTTAAGTAATCAAAATACTGACCAGCAAGAAATCAGTTAATAAGCATTTCCTTTTTTTCATTCAAATTTCCAGAGAGATCTCAGAGTTTTTTTCCTGTACAATTCAGGTTCAAGACGACAAAGTTTTATTGAAGTATATATATTAGAGAACTGATTGTATGCCAATCATAGCAATACACACATAACATGGAGGGGGCAAATTGTTTCAGCCCTAGCTTTTACATAAAACTTCTTGTAGCTCACAGCTGATATACCACAGTTCAGTATTTAAATAAAATTTAGAATTTTTTTTTTCAGGCAATTATCATATACATACTAATCATGAATGAATTACCACTTACCGAATGACCACATCCTGAATCATCATACATTTTCTATGATTTTTTCTCACTGGTTTTCTTTTAAAGTCACATAGTTTTCTTCTCTCTGAAATGATAAATTATGTCCAGGTACTATTGCATTCTAATTTAAACTTATTATGTAATAGCATTAGCAACAACCGGGATGGCAGAAAAAATAACCAGAAGTCTCTGTCGAGACTGTAGCTTTACTGGTTTGTACTTATCAAAAACTGATGCACAGAATTATGTCTCTTAGTATAGTCTACTTGTGTGCCAAGTTATATTTAAATCAGACTAAAATTTAAGGAGGAGTAGTGTTTGCAGACAGACAGACGGACGCCGGACGCGTTACTATCGCGTAAGCTCTTCTGGTCTCTGATCAGTAGAGCTAAAACCAAGATGCGCTTGTGAAACACAGCAACAAAGTTCGAAAATGCAATTTTTTTAGCATATATAGGTCACAGTCAAGATCACATAATCATTCTCCTTGTTGCCATTTGAAAGCACTTCATTAGTGGAGTATGCATACTAAATACGTAGCCAATATCTCGTATAGTTCTAAAGTTATGGTGAAGGTTTAAGTTGACAACAGACAGACAGATATACAGTTATGGCAAAAGTTTGAACATTATAACTTGGTATACACACAGCCACTTCGAGATATCAAGGGTAAAATTCACAGCACAGCGGGACTGCATTTTGACTTCGAGGGATCAAGGGTTTCAAGAGATCAGGAGTTCGAGAACTCAAGAGCAAATCTGCTTAGTTATATAGTGGAAAAAATCGGAACCGGAGACTCACTTCAAGCGATCAAGAACTTCAGAGAAATCGAAGTTCAAGCCATCAAGAGTTACCTGTATATACAGATATAAGAAGCATGTTATTATTTGCAATTTTGACCTAATGACAGCTAAATCTGTTCAGTAAGACAATACTGTGTACATGTATTTAAGTAGTTTTATTGTGCATGATTATTTACTTATTTTCTTGATCTTCTCAACTTGAAGTGTTCTGTATTTTATTACCAAGTTTGTAATAAACATAATGAAACATACCCTTTTCCACATCACATCCTGTATCAGACCTTCGACCAATATCACCCCTAGGGCATTTGTCCCTCTGCCTGATATTGGTGTCTCGGGCTAGGATGTGATATGGAAAAGAGTATGTATTATTCGCTATACATTGACCTACTCAGGTCAATAATTAGTGTTGTAAAATCGGACATATTTTACTATCGATTATCAAATTGAATCGGAAGAACACAATCGATTATATAATCGATAATTTGAACTATTAAAAAGGTTAAATTTATTAATTCAGCACGAGTAGAATTCCATGACATGTGACCGCGAACTTCAACTTATCTTTATTGGCATACGACATTTTACACATTTTACAAATAACCGAGTCCATCAGTATATTATTTTTGCATGGAGGCCCATCACCCTTTTTCAGAAAGCCAAAAAATTTCAAACTTTAGATTGTGTTGCACCAGGATATTGATATAATTAGGCGTCAACCTCTTCACCATGCACGTTCGCCATTTTGTTTACCGCCGATTAGAGTGACGTCCCTTTGGTAAATATAAAAGTTAAACCTGATCGGCTTAAAAAATACGGCATGAAAAATATAGCGATCTATCGATGATAATATTTACAATCGATTGTCGCCGATCTGGGCCTTTAAACGACGATTTTTCGATAGTCGTAACAACACTATCAATAATTGTGAAAAAACTGATAATTCAAGGTGATGATTCATTTGCATTTCTTGACATACTATCAATATTAATTCACTATTAGGCTTTTTTGAGCAGTAAACTATTTCAATAAACAATAAAACAAGTCTTATCTCTTCAGAAAAGTGGACAGGCTTTCAAGTACATTCACTTTTTTAAGTTTTAAGTTCCATAAAATGGAAACTATATGGAAACTACTGATGTCACGATTCCCATATGTTTCCATCGGGTTTCCAAATTTGGGAAACCTGGCTTTTCATCCTGTGTATGCATTTTGATTTCTGACGTGATATTTGAAGTATTTACAGAAATATAGTGATTTTTCTCTGATGCGATACCCGTGAAAACGACTGTGAAAATGCCGTCTCCTGAATTGACGGCGCACCACACTTTTGTTGAATTATATGTGTAATGCTCGAAATATCGCCAACAAAGATCCAAAATATGCATAATATAACATGTCGTAAACTAGGGTATTCGTGACATTCGTCCACAAATAGAAAAATTGAAATTTTAGACCGTTAGACCTTTAAAGAGGCTATACGGGAGGACGGACAGAAGATTTTCGGCGAAAACTTTATCCGGGTTGTAAAGAACGTGCTTGAGAGTCACTAATATCACACTATATCTCATAAATATCTGCAGTTTTTAGTTTTCAAAGAAAAAATAAATATTCTTTACTTGTTTAATAGATATTAAGCTTGACAAGAAATGGTGTTTGGATGCAGAGTCGATAAGGTAACTCAAACTGTATAGGTACTCTTGGGAAAATGTTGAGAAAATGAGAGATCAATCACATATTTTTTATATTGCCTGTGACGTCGAAGATTTTGCCTGTCCGTGACTGTTAATGATATGTCCTGAAAAATCACTCCAAATTGATACCAATTTACAACATTTTGATATGAAATTTTGAAGACCATATAAGTAAAGATTTTTTTATATTATGCTTGACATTTTGCCTAATTATGTCGTCAAATTTTTTTTTTCTGTGCAACAAGTCCGCGTAATTTTTTAACAGCCCTCGTATAAGTTAGTAAAACATACTCGTATATGTGATAGGAATTATAACATTAAAATACTAAAATAACATACAAAATACATTTACGCCATTAATAAGATTGTCAATAAAGGAATATATTTTTGGATTTGCTCCTAAAAGTAGTACATCGGATAATTAAAAAGCTATTTCATAAATAGATGTAAAATTTGTCTTGTTTGAATAATACTGAGACAATTGATTATTTAACCTAGGAAAAACCTAAGTGAAATTGTTTAAGTTACTCTGAAGCATTTCATGACATACATAATGCACAGTTCATGTAGTTTACTCTTACCCAATCTGAAACGATTCACTCATTAGCTCACCTGAGCCAAAGGCTCAAGTGAGATTTTTCGGTCTAAATTCGTCCGTTGTCTGTTTTTGTTGTAAATTTTTCACATTTTCATTTTCTCCAGAACTACTTGGTCAATTTCAACCAAACTTTTCATGACTCAGAATATTCCTATGTAAAGGGTATTATAGTTTTTTTTTTAATTGAAGGGCCATGCCATCTTCAAAGGGGGAGATAATTATGAATAAGTAACAAATAGATGGCATCTTTCAAAAATCTTCTTCGAAAGAACCACTGGGCCAGAAAAGATGAAACTCATGTGAAACCATTCTTTGGAAGTGTAAATTCAAGTTTGATCAAGTCTTGGCCCCCAGGGGTGGGGTGGGGGCATTTTTTCGGATCAAAGTTTAACATAGGAATTCTAGGAAAATCTTTAAACATCTACTCAAGAACCACTGAGCCAGGGAAAATGAAACTTATTTGGAACCATCCTCTGGTAGTGTAGATTCAAGTTTGTTCAAGTCATGACCCCTGGGGTAGGATGTGGCCAATATCATGAATATGGAGGATCAAAGTTTTACATAGGAATATATAAGAAAAATCTTTAACATTTCTCAAGAATTTCTCTGATTTGTCGGTGATATGGAAGCATCCTCTTGTAGTGTAGATTTAGGTTTGTTCAAATTATAACCCCTGGGGCAAGGATGGGACCATAATAAGTGAACAAGAAGGATTACATAGAATCTTTTTTTTAATCTTCTTCTTGAGAACATCAAAGTTGTGGCTGTTCATATAATTGGAAGCATCCTCGAGTAGTGTAGATTCGAAGCTGTTAAAATCATGACCCCAAGAAGAGTGGGGCCACAAATGTGATCAAAGTTTTACGTAGAAATGCAATGGTTAAAAATCTTCTTCTCGAGAAACACTGTAGCAGGAAAGCTGAAACTCATGTGGAAGCATCCTCTGGTAGTGTAGATAAATGTTTGTTCAAAACATGATATAGGGACTAGAATGGGGCCACAATTAGTGTTCAAAGTTTTACGTAGAAATGCATGGGGAAAAAATCTTCTTCTCAAAAAACACTGGGCTAGGAAAGATTAAACTCGTGTGGAAGCAACCTCTGGCAGTGTAGATTAAAGTTTGTTCAAATCATATCAAGGGAGAAGAGTGGGGCCACAATGATGATCAAGGTTTTACATAGGGATGTATAGGAATAGGATAAATTGTTAAAACTCTTCACAGAAACAACAGACCCATGATTGATCATCAATATAAAAGCATCAAAAAGGGTCATGTAGAATTATACTTGATCAAAATCATGACCAACAAGGAGAAAAGAAGAGCCATTAAAGTGGATCTTACATGTAATTATGCAAATGAATATAAAGATAAAATCAATTACAATTTTCACCATATGAACAGCAAAGCCATTATGTATCATATTTATTAAAAGGCATATGTAGGAAGTATAGATTTAAGTTTGTTTAAATACCACGTTCCCACAAACTTCCCCTGAACCCACTGTTATATTTAAACTTCTCAATACTGAACCGATTTTTGCTTTTACCTAGCCATTTGCTCAGGTGAGTGATGTGGCCCCCAGGGGCTCTTCTTTTAAAGTCTTATTACTACCTTAAAATCTTCATTTTATAAAAAGTTCAATACATTAAGTAAAAAAAAAATATTATGGGTAATAAAAAATTGAAAGGTTGAATCAACACATTAAACTTTTTAAACAGACATTAAGAGGTGGCTGCGATCAATATATACATTTTACGATAAACAAGAAAAGGTTTTCAAATCACGTGACCAAAAGACAGGTTACAATTACTTACAACGAGGATGGAGCCATGTTAGATTTACAGGTCAGGCATGATAGATAAAGCTGTTTTACTTTCTTATAAAGTACCATTTGTAGCCTTATTTATGTAAATGAGTGAATCATTGTTCTATTTAAAAACGTAACATATAAATGTGGATCGATTTTCTCAAACATATCTGAAAAAAATGAGACTTTAAATAAGGTCATTAATGTGTATGCATTTTTTTTTCAAAAAATTTAATTTTTTTAAGTTCGTTAAAATTGAATATTCCTTTTAAGTAACAGTATCAAATTTCTTCATTAGCTGTATTACCCATAATATTTCTTACTATTTTTTTTTTATTGTTTTGATCAGCAAATCAGGTAATTTCCTGAGAATTAAATCAGTGGTATTTAACCATCACTTTTACTTCTCAAATTTCATTGCAGACTGTTAACGTCACCTGAGCTTTTGACTGTATCCTCAGTATGGACCCCAGATACAGTGCTCAAGACATCTTAAGGTGTGACCTCTGTGAGACACATGTGGTACAAAGTCATTGCCAACTTTGTCAAATCAACCTCTGTAAGACCTGTGTAAGAAAGCATCTCTCAGACTCAACCAAAAAACATAGAGTTGTACCATATTCAGAAAGATTTTCTACCCCTAACAATCCAAAATGTCCAAAGCATTCCATGAAGTGTGAACTTTACTGTGAGCAATGTTACATTCCTCTCTGTTCTACCTGCATCTCCTCAGGCATCCATAAGGGACATCATTTATCAGATGTTTTACAAAAAATCAGCTCTAAAACAAAAGACATGGAGAAAGAACTGAGACAACTTGAGACAAGAACTTACCCAAAATATGAAGAAATTGCATCAGGCATAAAAACCGAAAAAGACAACTTGGAAACACACTACAGTAAACTGACATCAGCTGTCACAAAACAAGGAGAAGACTGGCACAAAGAAATTAACATTATTGTCAACAAACGAAAATCTGAAATTGATGAAATGAAATCTAAACACCTGGCTGCTCTAAATAAACAAGAAAAAGAAGTCAAACAGATTACTAAAGAATTGAATCAGTGCAAGGTTGATCTGAAGAAAATTCTGGAATCCAATGATATTTTCTTAGCCTTTGTATACAAGTCCAGAAACGCAGAATTCAGATGTTTACCTCCAGACCTTAAGGTTATATTACCAAGATTCTATCCTCATCCGATCAACACAGAACAGCTCCATCAAATGCTTGGTTCTCTGTCAGAATTATCCATTACAACAGAAGAACATGGCCACACAATGGAAACACCAGAAGCTGTATCCTGTCCTCCAGTCAAACCACTGCTTGATGAACCAGAGCTCATCAACACCATAAACACTGGGTATAAATATCTATACAGTGTCACCTGTCTCAGCGATGAAGAAATCTGGACATGTGGAGAAGACAAAATCATGAAACTCTACAACCTCAAGGGTAAGTTACTAAAGTCAAGTAAAACCAAGTCTGGGAAGAAACAACTTGACATTGCAGTGACAAGGAGTGAAGATCTAGTTTATACTGACCATAATGCAAGAACTGTAAACATAGTAAAGAATAAACAGATACAGGAAGTGATAAGACTACAGGAATGGATACCTAAATATGTCTGTAGTACCTCCTCTGGTGACCTTCTGGTTGACATGTACAGTGTGGATGAAGAATCAAAAGTTGAACAATCAAAAGTTGTCCGTTACTCTGGCTCTACAGAGAAACAAACCATTCAGTTTGATAGTGAAGGTAAAGCTCTCTATTCATCTAGTTACTCTTTTAAATACATCAGTGAGAACAGGAACCTAGATATCTGTGTGGCTGACAATGGAGCCGGTGCAGTAGTGGTGGTTAATCAGGCAGGAAAACTCAGATTTAGATACACTGCTTATCCCCCTACTACGTATACCAAGGGAAGATTTGATCCTTACGGCATCACAACAGACAGCCAGAATCAGATCCTGATAGCCGACCATTTCAACAAGTGTATCCACATCCTTGATGAGGACGGACAGTTCCTCCGTTACATTGATAACTGTAATCTACACTATCCATATGGCTTATGTGTAGACACAAGAGACAATCTCTTTGTAGCTGAGTGGATCAGTGGTAAAGTGAAGAAAATCAGATACATGTAAGCACTGCATTGTGACAAGATATAACTGTGAATAAGATTTAGTTATGCACTGAGAGTAAAAAGTAGTTTGATGTTGGACTAATTAAATCAAATTATAAGTAGTATATGCACCTTATACAATGTTTTGAATACCTGTTAATTTCAGGATAAACACAGTTGCTGTCAAATTTATAGATAATAGCAAAAGATCAATGTTCATAAAATCAAAAGTGTAGTTTGGTTGGGTTTGTGCACATTATAAAAAAAATCTCAAAATTCTATATAGATTTTATCATTAAAACACCGTGTAGTGATATCTAGAAATGTTTTAAGACATGATTGCATTTTCAATAATAAATACATTTAAAAGCCTGTTTATAAAATACATGGTTTTATAATGTGATTGAAAAGCTCATAAATCCCTGCCTGGCTTATAGATCCAACAATGTAGAAAAATATACTTCACACCTGCACATGAACTACCAGAAGAAGGATATGGAAATAACGAACAGTATTCAATCTCAACGTCCATCAAACAATATACAAATAAGAGCAGAGCAAACACGGACCTCCGAAACATCAGAGGTGGGATCAGGTGCCATGGAGGAGTGAGCATCCCCTGCCGACCTGTCACACCCGCCGTGTGCTCGTTGTCATAATCAGAAAATAACGGAAAAAATCCGTCGTCAATTCAGTGTATAAATAATGGACTAACAATTGGTATGAAAAACGTCAGTCAGCATTTCATCCAATGATAAATTGTATTTGCTGACAAGGTCATTGTATCGACCATAGAACTTAGGAGAAGATGACTTTAAACGAGACTGTTGATATTCTTGTTTCATCAACTTGCTTGTCAATAATTTACCTCGTTTAAGACATTGTGCATAAGATTTTGCATAAATTCTGCTTCATATGAATATAAAAATAAGTCTGCTAATAACGGAGCGCAATTTGTACCAATAGGAATTCCAATAGATTGTTGGAATACCTGGTCTCCAAAAACCACATAGATATTGTCAATCAGAAACTCAAGCATCTTCTTGATGTCAACTTCAGAGTACTTATGTGTGCAATCAGAATCTGTTTTAACAAAATAATTTTTCAAATGACCAATGACGAGGTAAGTAAATTTACGAGTTCCATTTTTGTTGAAGAAGCAGCTGTCAATGATATCAAAAAGCCTGGATTTTAATTTGTCGTGGGGAATTGTTGTGTATAAAGTTGAAAAGTCGTAAGTTTTTAAGCTGTTGATTTTTGTAAAGTCTTGCGATTTCAAATTGTCAAAAAGTTCTTTAGAATTTTTAAGTATCAACATCTGATTTACACCACTTTTTGAATATATAGTTGTACAGTACTCTTGAAGTTTTTCCTTTACTACTGTCAATATTTGAGTGAGAAGTAACGAAAGAGGCTTGGTTGAAAATTTACTGGAACCTGCAATGTATCTTTGTTTGTAAGGATTCTTATGAAGTTTCGGAATCCAATATATATAAGGTAGTTCAAATTCATTTTGGCTCTGTGGAATATTAAAAGTATTCAAAACTGACAGGTGATTTTGAAGAATTTCTTCCTTAGAAAGAGAAGTATGAGTATAAGTAGGATTACCACTTATGGAATTAAATCCAAGTTCTTCTAGAATGCAATTTATATAATGAGCTTTACAAACGAAGACAATGTTGTTACCTGCTTTGTCGGCAGGAACCAGTACGTACTGATCGTGTAATCTATCTAATTCTTTTTTCACTTCTGGTTTATTGAACACAGAAGGATAGATGGTTTTCATTTTGCCCCTCAATCTTTTAATACGTGACTGATACATTTATTCCATTCTGACAAGGTGTCAATGTCTTCTTTTTCATATCTGGCCCATCGTCTGGCGTAATTTTCAACAGAATCCATAATATTTATGAAATTCCGACGCCAGTTGAAGGATCGGGGTTCCCTATATTTAGGACCTTTTAAAATAAGTAATCCTCATTACGAACTATTTTTACGTCACCTGTAATAACGTGTCCAGCAGGACTATAGTTATAGGACGAAGAAGAACATGAACACGAAGGGGGATTATTTTTCAGATAGTCGATATCCAGGCCATGTAAAGTGTTTTTGTAATTGAAAAATTTGGATAAATTTAGTGACTGAGTTCACTTCAAGGCTGTAACGTTTTCAAAGCAGTGTTAATGGACACTATAAAGAAATAAACCCAAATATAAATTTAGATGAATTGTACACATTCAAATACATGGAATATATATATACCTTATTAACAACTGAATTTATTTTTGTAAGATTTTATCATCATGATTTAAGTTAATTAAATTTAATTAGAATAAGTATACTTAGCAAACTCTGTAATGAGCTTAGTTTGGTCACATTATTTTACAGCCATGTAATAAATGCTTATACATGTAACTGCACTACGAGAGTGGTGATTTAAAGTTTCATCCTCTATTTATAGCAATATACCTGAGTGGTGTTGTAGGGTGTGATGTAGGATGTTTTACTCATAAAACTACACCTGAATGGTTATATAGGATGTCGTATTTGTAACACTATTTGAGTGGTGATGTAGAGTGAACTGTACTATTTATAACACTAAACCTGTAGAGTGTTGAATTCTATTGAGTCATGTAAAGAATGTTGTGTTCTACATCTACACTACAGCACTCAAAGAAAATATTTACGACAGATCGAGAAGCGAACTTTTCTTTTAATAAATGTGATACATTATATCTAATGGTGTTATATAATCACGATATTTGCCAAAACATAGGTATTCAAAGATTACAGAGCTCACCTCAAAGAATATATGTTGTCTTTAAGTAACACAAAGACAGTTAACCAAAAAAAGTTTACATCCAAAAATGTAAACTTTATGCAATTTTACCTCTACGCAAATTTATTAAGTTACTTAGGAGGCCATCTTGGATCTGATACATAGTACAAAATATTTTTGCTAGATTTCCCTAGGTAGCATTAAGTCTAGCATATTATACAAGATCCTTCCCTTACGTAGCGGCTATGCTATTCAACGAACATCAGATTAATAAACAAGGAAACATTTTGGTCAGGACTTGGACATTAACAAACTATAAATGTAGACGTGAGAACTCTGTCAAAAATGAAAGAGATTTAAAGAAAACCACAAGAAAAATATTGCAACATTACCAATGCTTTCTTAAAAAGAAAAAAAAATTAACATCATTGTAAAGTAATTAGCATTTATTCTGTTTGTTCATATTATTTGCATACACTGTTTCACTAAACAAAATACCCAGCTCAACAAGGTTTACATTTTAAACTGAAGACATTGCAGGGATCAGCTATATCATCAGCTATATCATAAAGCAAGAAGAACAAAATAAGTTATCAATAAATATAACACAACATCAACTCTTATTATTATACCTCTACTGATTTTTTACTATATAAAATTAAATCGATATATTATGCTGATTTCCTGAAAATCATCATTTGAATAAACCGATTCCCTGCAAAACAGACTGATTCCCTGCAAAAAAGTACGTTTTTTTATGAACTGATACACACCTATTCGGAACACTAAGCATTTTGTTTCAAGTAACGACAAACTTAGAAATGTTCCGAGTAAACTCATGAATATTCATTGATGAATCGAAATGCATCGCGAGTCAACTGGCCCCTAATCAATCAGAAAGAACCAGTTTACTGGTAGCGAACGACAACAGAAATGGCGATCTCAAGAATTACGTAATGTTACTTTCGTTTTAACTAGGTAAAACACGGACAATGAACTGATTTCTTGATAAAATGGAATTCTATTCATGTCTGTATTCTGTTTTGTTGTTATTTTTTTATTTATTTCTATTGGAATTAAACATTGTTACAGAATACAGTATTGAATATGAAACTTTTTCAAATGTCTTGTTTAATGTTTGTATCGGTATAATAAAACAGTTAAAGTATATCATTGCGGGAGTCAGCAAAATTCCAGTTCCTCTCGACCAAGCCTCGGGAAATAGACTTGCTCTTGGGGAACTGGAATCTTGCTGACTCCCTCAATGATATACTTTAACTGTATACTGTCAGCCTTTGGATTTCCAACAATGACTGAAATACATATACATTTAGCATTTAATCTTTATCTAATATTTAAAATTCTGACTGAAAAATAATATACAAACACCTTCACAGCCCTGATATAAACAAGAGTGAAATATAACTCGAAAAACAATTTTAAATAAAGAATACAATATGCTTTTTTATCACAGTAAATTTTTTTTGTTCATGATATTCTTTTTATGAAAAGGAAAAAAAATGTAAAAAAAAAAAAAAAAAAAAAAAAAAAAAAAAAATTAAATTGATAAGGTTTCTATTGTGAAATAATGATTACCTAAATTAATGATAAATCATAATCATATATGTTGTAATTTTTTTTATTCCTTTTTGGAAAGAGATTTGTATCTAAAAAATAAGTAATAAAGAGATATAATTCAAATTATGGATATTGCTTCAATAAACTTCATTAATCAGATTTATCTTAGTCATTCATCACATGTATACTTGTACCAACAAAGAATGGTTATATAAAATTTTCTCGGAAGATTCTGAAAGGTTTAACTTACTTTAAATTTCAGAACTTATGGCTGGGATATTTAATTTCTCCTACTTAAAGGTACATAAATAAAAAAGGAGAGATAAGGGGAAGATAGATGGCCAAAAGAATAAAGTAACGCAATTACATGCACGTATTTATATATTTTACGCGAAAAAAACTTAAAAGAATGGGAATCGAAAATAGCAGTGTCAAAACAAGGATTCCCCATTATAATACAATATAATAATATATCTTTTAAGAGAAAAACGACATCCTATTTGATCTCCTCAATGCACTCTCATTCTACATACACATGTAACATGTTCCTAATAATTTGTGATTGTTTAAATGAAAATTTTAATCAAAATTCTACTCCAAGTTGTTGTGTGGACAAAACATTTCTTCCAAAAATATGAATTGAACGAGCCCAATTATAAACACATTTTATTATTCATTATTTGTGATATCACATGGGTCATTTGATAATTAATGGTAATAAATTCAACAATTGAAAATTAGTAACTGGAAAACACACTGTTCATGCAGTTTATTCCTTCCCCATCTAAAACTATTCATTCAAATCTCTTATCGTGATCCTTTCTATCTTTAGGATTTTTTAATTATGACAAATTTCAATACATTTATCAAAATAATAAAAAATAAATCAGAAACCCTTGGCTAGCGAAGATGAGTTTAATGCTACACACACAACTTCATAACTGAAATCTGATCTGTGCCATATTTTTAAAGAGATCTTTATTCATGTATGAAAACTATGAACTATGAACAGGTATGGGTATTTAAATCACGTGACCAAGAAGAAAAAAATCAAGACAGATACATGTCTTGTAACTTAACTACGAAGTAATATTGTCTTCCAGGAGCCATGTTAGATTTGCAGGTAAGACATGATAAAAAAAAACTGTTTTCACCTTGATATTTAAGAAATAAAGTAGCAATTGAATTTTCAGTTATATTAATGGGTGAATTAATGTTCTGTTCAACAACTTAAAATATCATGGATAGCTTGTCTGAAACTTTAATATAAGAAAAGGAATTTAGAACATCGAATTAGGTCATTGATGTGTCTGAAAATTACATTTTCTCAATAAATCTAATTATCTGAAAATCATTCAAAATTTTTAAGTCACAGTATATATATTCCCATCATTCTATTGTAAAAACAATTTTTTCAAAGATTTGTTTGTATCAGTTAATCATTATAGTTTGTATCATTTATTCATTATAGTAAGTGTTTTATAAGAGCCACTGCATTATACAGTCTTTGTTATTCCTCCATATTTATTACAGTGTCGCCTGGTCAGGTAACCAAGCATTATTAATGGACCCCCTGGACAGAGCTCAAGTACTCCTCCTCTGTGACCTGTGTCAAAAAGCTGCACTACAGAGTCATTGTGAACTTTGTCAGATTAACCTGTGTACGGCCTGTGTAGGGGGGCATCTCTTTGATTCTTCTAAAAGACATAATGTTGTGCCATACAAGCACAGAAAATCTGCTACTTATAACTATCCAAAATGTCCAAACCATTCCCAGAACCACTGTGAACTTTACTGTGATCAATGTGACATTACTGTCTGTTCTACCTGCCATTCCTCGGGAAAACATAAAGGACATAATCTATCAGATGTGTTACAAAAAATACTCACAAAAATAAAACACATGGAAAAAGAATTAAAAGAATTTGAGACTAGAATTTACCCAAAATATGAAGAAATTGCATCATGCATAAAAACCAAGAAAGACAACTTGGAAACACACTACAGGAAACTGACAACAGCTGTCACCAAACAAGGAGAAGACTGGCACAGAGAAATTAACTCCATTGTCAACAAACAGAAATCTGAAATTGAAGACATGAAAACTAAGCACCTGTCTGTCCTAAATGAACAGGAAGACGATGTCACAAAAATTATTGCAGAAGTGAAACAGAGTATTGTTGATCTGAAGAAAATTCTGGAATCCCGCGACATTGCCTTAGCCTCTGAATACAAATCCAGAAATGAAGAGTTTAGACATTTACCTCCAGAAGTCAATATTTCATTACCACGTTTCTCTCATAACAACATCAACACAGCACAGCTCTATCAAATGTTTGGTTCTCTGTCAGCATTATCCATTACAACAGAAGTACATGGTTACACAATGGAGACATTAGAAAGCGTATCCTTGCTTCCAGTCAAACCACTGCTTGATAAGGCAAGGCTCATAGCCTCCATAGACATTGTGAATGAGTTTACAATCTACAATATTACCTGCCTCAGTGATGAGGAAATTTGTGTATGTGGAGATAACAAAATTATGAAACTCTATAATCTCCAGGGTAATCTATTGAAGTCGATCCAAACCAAGTCAGGGAATGATCCCTGTGACATAGCAGTGACAAGGAGTGGAGATCTAATTTATACTGACCATAATAGAAGAACTGTAAACATAGTAAAGAATGAACAGATACAGGAAGTGATAAGACTACAAGGATGGAAACCTTGCTATGTCTGCAGTGCCTCCTCTGGTGACCTCCTGGTTACCATGAACAGTGATGATAAAGAACAATCAAAGGTTGTTCGTTACGCTAACTTTAGAGAGAAACAAACAATTCAGTTTGATGATAAAGGTCAAACTCTCTATTCATCTATTTACATCAAATACATCAGTGAGAACAGAAATCTGGATATCTGTGTGGCTGACAATGGAGCTAGAGCCGTAGTAGTGGTCAATCAGTCAGGAAAACGCCGATTCAGATACTTCGGTCATCCCTCTAAGAGTTTATTTGATCCAGTCGGCATCACAACAGACAGCCAATGTCAAATCCTGACAGCAGACTATGACAACAACTGTATCCACATCCTAGATCAGGACGGACAGTTCCTCCGTTACATTGATAACTGTAATCTACATGATCCATGGAGTTTATGTGTAGACACCAAAGACAACCTCTTTGTTACTGAGTGTGGTACTGGTAAAGTGAAGGAAATCAAATACATGTAAACACTGCATTGTGTCAAGAAATGATTGTGAATTAGATAATATTTAGCTATGCATTGTAATTTAAAAGACAATGCTCACTGAGTCAGGATTTATAAAACAAAATTAAATGAAAAGTTTGTGAAATACATGCACTACATACATGTATGATGCTATGATTTGACAGGATTACCTTTTCAATATGAATAAAAACATTTTACAAAATACAAAAAAAATTTTGGACATGTACAACTGAATTCCTAATTCTAAATATTAACATTTTAAAATTAAATCGATGCAGTCAATCAATGATTTTGAAACACAACGTTTTGTTGCAGGTCAAACACGACGGCCAAGTGACTGTCTCTTCGAAACAGATTGTTTTTTTTTACTAGTAATTATTTATATAAGGTATAATGATATACATTGATTTATTCACTGGTTTCAAGGACAACTTGTGGTTGGTCAACCCCAAGAACCAAACTGATCAGACAAACAGTTTGGTTTGAGGGATAAACAAACGTATTTTGCCCGAGAATACTTAATTTAATTTACATTAATTTTTAGGTAATACCTTTTACTTATATATTGACATAAATGATTGTTGTGTTGGATCCCATGTTTCGAATCATGGATAAGATATAAAATAACTGATTCCGCCTAAAAAGTAAAAAACAAAAAACAAAATGGAGGTCAAAATCTCATGGACATGTCCAATATCTCACCTTCCAACATATTTTTTTATCATTAGTAAAACATTGAAAAATTAATGTATCATTAGTAAAACATTGAAAAATTAATGTATTGTGAGACTTTTTCATGTTGATTTATATAGGAAAAGATATAATAATGGAATTGATGAATTTCTTAACATTTAAATAAATATAGATTGAAAACTTCGAAATTGATACACAATTAGTTTTAAAGAGTTATTTCAACTGCATCCGACTTTCACTCAAATGAACATAGGCACATAGAATCAGGATGTGGTATGCCCCCTTTCGCTAGATTTTTTTTTTGAAAAGCCCCATACCCCCCAAAAAAGAGGACAAAATCTACGCATCTTAAAATAGGGAGGGTGTGGGTCCGTTAATGCAGATGGATATTTCCCCAATAAACTATATTAGAAAGTTCGGGGAATCAGACGTTTAATAAAGATTTCCATAGTAAATTAGAAGTACATGTAAACTTTATATTCTGACAAGAATTTCTGGACGAATTTTTAGAATTCACTTTTAGGGATAGGAGGCTTGTCAAAGTTTTTATTATTTAAATTGTCATTTTTTATCCATACATAACCCATTTCAAAAAAGATAGTATGGGCATGACTTTTTCATTCATCGTACCAAAAATAGATTTGAAATATCCAAATCAATAAAAGTCACTATATATGTTTTTTAACCCCGTTTCTCTTACTGTATGTGGTCACTTTTCTTCAAGAAAGATGGTATTCCTTGCTTATTGATGACTTTGAATCATTAAAACATTCAATTCGTGCAATAAAACAAATCTTGCTTTTTTTAAAAAAAAATAAAATACTTTGATTAACTAATCATTAAGTACAATATTCACCAAAACTTTAGAACTCTGTGAAAATGTACTCTTCATTTGGAGAAATCAACGTATTCATCTACAATAAAAAAAGGAATTGTCGTTTTGTAACCTGAAAAATGGACAATTGAGAGTTATTCCCCTTCACAATATATGAATACAGGGTAGAGTATGACCCTGTGCGGCAGTGCCTGGAAAAAAGATTTTTTTAGTCCCCTTAAACGAAGTTTCGGGGTATATAATTTTTGTCGTGTCCGTCCGTCTGTCTAGCTGTCTGTTTGTCTGCGAAAACATTAACCTTGCTCATAACATTTGATTGAGTGGAGCTATGACTTCCATATTTCACATGTGTATTCCTTGCAACAAGACCTTTCTTTGGGTACCACAATATTTGACCTTTTGACCTTGACCTTAAGGTTTGACCCACTTTTACACAAGAATTCTAAACTTTTAAATTAGCCATATGTTTTGAACAGTAGACACCAGGATATTTATACTTCACATATGTATTTGAAGTAAAGCTTTTCATTGGATACCAATTACCTTGACCTTTTGACCTTGACCTTGGAGATTTTTGTGCTCATGGAAAGACTTAAACCCTAGCCATAAGTTTTAAAGGCTAAGAGTTGGTGATCTCTCACTTCACATATGTAATCCTTGTGAGAAGAACCATTATAAGATACCAAGAACATTGACCCTTTGACCTTGACCTTGGAGTTTGACCTACTTTTCAAAAGCAAACCTTTTTCTATGACTTTCAAAGGGCTGGGGGTAGTGCTTTCATACTTTATATATTTAATCTTTGTGATAAGACCTTTTTTGGATAGCAAGACCTTTGACCCTTTGACCTTGGATTTTTAGCTACTTTTAAAAATTCAAAATCTTTAACCTTGGCCATTACTTTTGAAGGATTACGGTTAGGGTTTCCATACCTCACATATTTGTTTTTGGTGGCAAAACTTCTCATTGAATGCCAATTACTTTGATCTTTTGACCTTGACCTTGGAGATTTCTGTATTTATGAAAAACCTTTAACCTACGCCTACTTTCTTATTTCATAATTGTATTACCAGTGAGAATGCCCTACTTTTGGTACCAATATATTAAATTTGCACTTAAGAAAATTTTAATCTTCACTATGTTGCTATACGGGGGCATCAGTGTTTCACAAACACATCTTGTCTTTACATTAAATGATGGTGAGATAAACAATTTGGATCTAAAAGTGTAATTAATCTTATAAAAAATGATGATAGGAAAAATTAATTAATGGTCCAAACAGAGCCATGATATTTCGTAATATTAAAGATATTTATATACAAAACAATTCAGTTCAGTTCTTTATTAACTTTCAGCTTTACAACTCATCAGTACAAATAAATTCAAATAGATATGACTGTACTAGTACGCTTACAGAAGAATGTCAAAACAGTGTACGTATGAAAATACAATAAATACTTAATTTAACTTGCCTTTTTTAGTTCTTAAGCATAAGTTATATAAATTACCCCCCATTACATAATTCTTTCACATTTTCAACGTTAAAAATTAAGTTGCAACAATTTAAACATTGAATTTTTTTCAGTAATAAGATTTTAAGTATTTTTTCGATGGATTTCTGAAGCAGGGCAGCTAAAATTAAAATGACGTTCGTCCTAAACAAGACTGGAACAAAAGAAACAATGCCCATGTTGTCTTTCTGTTTTACTGTATTGACCCGTTTCTCTTGCCAATTGATGTCATGACAGTCTCAGACCATTTAGACATATAAACAATGTCAAGTGTTTCACCACCAATTTACCAATTTTAATATTCTTTTGCCCCCTTTTCTAAAAACAACAATCTTTTCCTCTATATTTTTTATACAGCAATCTCACAAATATTAAATTTGTGCAGTGTACCAGAATACTTTTTATATAATGAGTGAAGTTTCTCACCATTGCAAGGTTTGTCATTTGCAGATATATAGAGCTCAACATGTGCTTGCTTCTGTTTGTTAATTTTGGATTTACATTTACTTGGTTTAAAATTGCATGCACAAATGGATTTACAGTTCTCAGGAAAAACCTAATCATTTTTTTATATATACTCACCGTCAATGAAAACGCAACACTCTAATTTTAGGGTGAAAAGTATATACGGGTTATAACTATGTACAAAAAAAGTTAGGACATCTTTTACTTTGCCAAATCAATTATTTAACGGTTGAATGAATTTCCTTCCTCTACCGGAAGTTGCTTTTTAGCCCTCTTAACAGAAATCAAATTTTTGCATTTTTAATAAAATTTTAAACAATATTTTGGGTTTTCAAGGTTTTGAAACTGTTAATCATAAGTATTGTACTAAAAGGCCGGGAAAAAAATCCTTCTTTCTTTACCGGATGTGATGCCTATATTTCCTCAAAATGATTGATTTTCATTGCTAATGCTGGAAATTCTTAAAATTAAGAAAAAAAGAGCTGCAGATGCAAATGTACACTACATCACAACTCATCAGGCTCATGTGTTTCAATAGCATAAATAACATTTTCTTGACCGGAAGTCCAAGAGTTACTACACTACGCCAAGTTAGAGAAAATTCGACCGCAGTATCTGAACAACAGGCAATTAAAAATGCCCAAGAATATTTATTTCGCTCAGATAAAGACATTGATAAACCTAATGGGTGGTAGAAATCGGACTGCGTACATGTATAATTTTCAAAGCGGACTAGCATGTTTTGATTAGATGGTCGGAAGGGGGGGGGTGTTTTATTTAAATGTTATCTGTTAAGAGGGCTAAAAAATCAGCTTTCGGTAATGAAATGAAAACCATTCAACGATTAAATAACTGATTTGGCAAAGTAAAAGATGTCCTAACTTGTTTGGTATATAGTTATAACCCGTATATACTTTTCACCCTAAAATTAGAGTGTTGCGTTTTCATTGACGGTGAGTATATTTCTTATGTCCATATATTTTCAATTTTAATACAGTCTTCAAATGTATGTTGATTTAATAGAAAGTACTTCTTACATGGTTCCAAAGCTTCTAAATCTCACTCCGAGCGTTTACTTTGTGTATATTGATGAAAATCTGCTGGAATATGACATTGATTATCATTCTTCACATTGCGCTAGTCATGTGCAGCGGTGCATGATCAGAAAAAGCATTAAAAGTACAAATTTTATTTGTCAAAAAGATCAAACATATGTATAGGGGTAACAAATAATTGATTGCACTAAGTTCACGTGACCTGTTGAATGTAAAATTAAGGCCGGTATACACGATTAGATTTGTAGTATAATAAAAGTATTATAATACATTTGTATTATGATACTTTCTTGTACACACGCTAATACATGTCTTATAAGATTGTAAATACACTATTATTCCCACGTGTTTTTTTCTGCCATATTTCTCTCTCTGTCAAAATAATCAAAATGATAATAATATTAAGCTCTGCCTCTAGCATCTTTTTTGTGGTACATTTTGTAACTACAGCTTGATATATTCCATAAGTCCTCTTCCCCTTCCCATAAAACCACGAGTTTTTCGATATCTTTACTCGAAAAGTCGGCCGTTATTATTTACCATGTGCTTTATTCAGTAATGATATAATGCAATGTGAGTACATTTGATTGGTTGAAAGTGAAAGGTGAGGTAAGACTTGTATTAGGAAATAGAACATTGCTTAATACAGTTTTATAAGATTCGAAAAATC